TTCATTTTTTATGTTATTACAGTTTCTTTATAAAATAATTGAAAATCGTTGTTTAATGTTCCATTGAATGGTTGTGCCATAGTTTGTTACAAATTTTTTTTTAATATTTAGGTTGTTTCCAAAGTTTTATTATTATAAATAATGCACTTATTAAAGCTTAGCCCAAAGAACTATTTTTCTTCATGGCAACTATTTACTAAAAGTAAATCTCAATCATAAGATGATTATTTCAGAGACTGGTATTTTGTGACTTTTGATAAACATTGCCGACTCTCTAACCTGTGCTGCCGCTAGCAGTGTTGCAGGCAGTCATTTCAAGGTCTCTTCAACATTAGTAGCCATTTTAAATATTTTTCAAAGTCTGCTAATTTAATGAGTTGTTTTGTTTTTTTTTGTTTTTTGGTTTTTTTTGCTTATTAATAGAAGTGAACATAACATTTTTCCATGTTTACTCAATTTATTTCTTCTTATGTGAAATATATATGACAGAAGTGGTTTTAAAAGCATTTTCAATACTAATAACCAAGCTGGGTCTATAATATATCTAAGGTTAGAAGTATGTCTAAGTGTAGCTGGAGTCTTTCTTTACTTTGTTTTTTGGGGTTTTTTTTGAGATGCAGTCTTGCTTTACCATCCAGGCTGGAGTGCAGTGGCATGATCTCGGCTCACTGCAACCTCCGCCTCCTGGGTTCAAGCGATTCTCCTGCCTCAGCCTCCCGAGTAGCTGGGACTACAGGTGCCTGTCACCACGCCTGGCTAATTTTTGTATTTTTAGTAGAGACGGGGTTTCACCATGTTGGCCAGGCTGGTCTAGAACTCCTGACCTCAGGTAATCCACCTGCCTCAGCCTCCCAAAGTGCTGGGATTACAGGCGTGAGCCACCGCGCCAGCCACCGCGCCCAGCCCCAGCTAGAGTCTTTCAAAATATCCCTGTTGGATGAACAAAGAGAAAATTTTCCAGCTTAGTTATAATACAGCTTGCTTTTTGGAAAAGCTAATGAGTTTTCAGTCAACGATTCCAAATGTGTGGTTAAGGAGAATTTGTAGATGCTATCTTGCAGGTCTTTACTGAAAAAAATATCTGGTAGGCTATTAGAATTAGGGTTCTGTAGCCCTGCAGTTTCAGAATTATGTATCATGTTACCTGTTTCAAGTGTGAGATACCTGGCAGGTGTTGGATATTTATCAGTGAGTTGTTGGATAAATGGATCACGAAGGGATGACGCCAGAGTTTCTCAGATCTTCAGCCCAATAACACAAGCAATACATAAGTATGTATTTTTTTATTTTTTATTTTTTAGGGGCAGGGTCTCTCTGTTTCCCAGCCTTCAGTGCAGTGGTGCCATCATAGCTCACTGCAGCCTCAAACTCCTGGGCCCAAGTGATCCTCCCACCTCAGTCTTCTGAGTAGCTGGGACTACAGCTGTGCACCACCATGTCCAGCTACAATGTAAGACAGAAATATATAAATTAAAGAAAGTGAAAGCCCTCTTAAATTACTCCCCTTTCTGAAGGGAAGTTTCTTCCACATGTATTTCTTTTCATATACTTATACCTCAAAACATACATATTTTCAGTGGTTTTCTGTTTTGTTTTGTTTTTTAAGAGGAGTCTCGCTCTGTCGCCCAGGCTGGAGTGCAGTGGTGCGATCTCGGCTCACTGCAACCTCCGTCTCCTGGGTTCAAGTGATTCTCCTGCCTTAGCCTCCAGAGTAGCTGGGATTATAGGCACCAGCCACCTCGCCCAGCTAATTTTTGTATTTTTGGTTTCACCATGTTGGCCAGGCTGGTCTAGAACTCCTGACCTCAAGTGATCTGCCCACCTTAGCCTCCCAAAGTGCTGGGATTACAGGCGTGAGACACCGCGCCCGGCCTAGTGTTTGTTTTTTACGTAAATTGGATCATACTATATATAGTGTTCCAGAGCCTGTTTTTTCCTTTTTACATTTACTTTGTTTTTAATGTTTTCTGTAGCAATACAACTGATAGATAATATCTCATAGTCAGAATACACTGAAATTTAGTGAACCATTCTGTCAGTACATTTAGGTTGTTTCAGGTTTTGCTGTGACAACATTATGAAACCTTCTTGGTTCTGTCTCTAAGTGGATGGTATTTGGAAAGGCTATTTATTTTGTGTATTGCTGTGGATTCCTTAGACCCTCTAGTGGTTTTTCAGTTGATTCATTTGGATTTCCTAGGTGGAAAATCTTATTGCATGCAAACAATAACAATTCTGTATTTTCCTTTTAATTATTTGTATGTCTATTTTCATTTCATGGCTTATTGTATAGCTGGAAAGCCAGTGTACTTGTTAACTGTAGCAGTGATAATGGGGCACCCTTTCTCTATTGTCAGTTGTTAACACACCACCATTGTTCTGGTGTTTTAGTCAGGATTACACGTGAGTTTGTCACAGTCAAGTTTCTGATACGCAAGTTAGAGCATTCACAGGGAAAGAACTGACCCTGAAACTTGGAATGGGAACACCTGCTCGGATTTGGATGAAACCGACAAATCAAAGCTCCCTTGGCAGTGGTAGTACTCTGCCCTCCTGGGTCTCAGGACACTTCCTTTGCCTGAAAGTCCTGTGATAACTTCATCTGGGAGGACGCCTTGGAAAGGGATGCGCTTTCCTCAGACCCGGCACAGTCACCCCTGTTGTCACTGGATCTGTAACTAGGTCAAATCTTAGCATGTTACAGGGGGACATATAACTCAGATAACTCACTCCAAAGGAAATCACTTACACACCAAAAGAATGGTAAGATTTTGCTAATAAATATTGGAAGAAACCTGGGAAACATGTTGAATTGATTCTAAGAGTGTTTGATCCAACAGGGTAGGCTAGAACATTCCATTTGGTTAATTCATTGATACAGACGCACTTACCTGAGAGTCTAGATGTCATGGGTTAGCTTGTGCAGCTAGAGGTGATTCAACAGTTGCCTACATTTGATGAGGTGGAGATGCCAGAGCTTCCCTGCTATGATTTGGGGGAGACAATCCAGAGACGTAGGGAGACAGGAATGTCACAGTGGATTTATCATGTGTGACTTGCACATCTACCACCAAACACCCATCCATAACCATGAGAAGGCCCAGAAGACACTTCTTTACTAAGACATTGAGAAACAGAATAGTGAGGGGAGCATCTGCATCCCTAAAAGCTCTGTGCTTGCTTTCCTGTGTAGGCAGGTGTGACCCTAAGGATGTTGTCACTGAGACGAGCTTCCTGATATCAGTGGGGTGATGGGGTCCCAAAGTGCCTTAGGATAACTGGGAGCACTTAATTGTCAAAGATAAGGTGGGAACATTTACCACAAAGGGCCGTAGAGACTAACGGTAATCAGAATGCCTTTGGCCATAGGGATTCTTGGCAATGGCTAATCAATCATGGTATCTCTAGGAACAAAATTGATGGGCTGCCTACTAAAGTATAACAGAAAAAGAGTCCGGGTCTGGTAGCCAGAACCCTGATTTGAATCACCACAGTAGAGAGTTACGGCCGCTCCCCTGGGACTGGGTCAATTCACAGCCCCAGAGCCCCTTTATGAACTGCGGTATAGGTGTGGGGGCATGTCCCCCCGAGGATGAACTCTGCAGCCCTGCTGCAAGTACCTACCGTAAGTCTCCCTGTAGCTCCTACTCAGAAGAACTGTGTAATTTACAGAGTGACTGTGCACTGGGATGACTGAAGCTTTGGCTCTGAATGGATGTTCATCCACAGGGACCCAAAGTGACACTGCGGCCACTAGTCAAAATGGGCGGTTATGGTGGCTAGGTGACAGATGGAGCCTGAACTAGCCTGACTGTGAGTCCACCTGTTCCGTGGACCCTCTCTGTCTTTGTTTCCTCCGTTACTGAAGCTGTTATTGGACTAGATATACTTGGGGACATTATGATAGTA